ATTTAGTATCATTATCCAAATCATTGCTGAAGATGTTGAACAAAACAGGTCCCAGGACAGATCCCTGAGGCACTCCACTTGTCACTCCTCTCCAAGAGGATGAGGAACCATTCACAAGCCCTCTTTCGGTGCGATCTGTCAACCAGTTACAGATCCGGCTAACAGTCGTAGGATCCAAACCACATTTTTCCAATTCGTCAACAAGGATATTATGTGGAACCTTACCAAAAGCCTTACTGAAATCAAGATAAACTATGTCTACAGCATTCCCCTGATCCAGCAAGGTAGTAACTTTCTTGAAAAAGAATGACTGCCTCTGAATATGGAGGTTCCCTTTAGTCCCCACGGCTACTAGCCACTGACAGGCCAATTTTTTTTCAAGTGGTTATCCCTTGAAAAGGAGCTGCGGTGGCTCAAGTGGTTAAGATGCTGAACTACAGGCTGCGGAAGGTCGGTGGGTTCGAGACCTGAGTTGCCGCATGACGGAGTGAGCTCCCGTCTCTAGTTCCAGCTCCTGTCAACCTAGCAGTTCGAAAGCAAGAAACTGCAAGTAGATAAATAGGTACCACTTCGGTGGGAAGGTAACAGCGTTCCGTGCGCCTTGGTGTTTAGTCATGCCGGCCACATGACCACGGAAACGTCTTCGGACAGCGCTGGCTCGTCGGCTTGGAAACGGAGATGAGCACCGCAACCCTAGAGTCAGATTCGACTTGCTTTCGAGCAAGGGAAACCCTTTACCTTTACCTTTATCCCTTGAAGGTATATATATGAACTCTCCCACTCTCTTACACAAGCACACACACACGCAAAACACAACATTAAATCATGTTCAGTGTGGCTTATTTCCCCCCCCCCCTACAGTAGAGGCTCATACTCGTTTTGTTTCAGGAACCAAGTCGTCCTTCATCCTCCGTTTGGTCCAGTCCCTGGCCAGCTCGTCTTCGGCTATCTCCTGCAAATGGAAGACGGCGACCTGGGCAGACGTGCGTCGGATCCTGCCACTCGGAGTCCTCTCGAAATCTTCGACTGGGCTGACGTCTGGCTTTGTTTCAGGCGGCGCAGGAGGCTGAGAAGGTAGGAAGGGTCCCCCACAGTGTTACAAGAAGAAAAGCAGAACTGGTGATAGTCAAACACGACATACGTTATTGTTTTTTTGCACCACCGAGTTTGGGGAAGAGAAACTTGAAAGGGTTGGAATACTTTCCCTATGAGGAAAGGTTAAGGCGCTTAGGGCTCTTTAGCTTGGAGAAACAACGACTGAGGGGTGACATATCGAGGTTTATAAGATTATGCATGGGAAAGAGCAGGTAGAGAAAGAGGTACTTTTCTCCCTTTCTCACAATACAAGAACTCGTGGGCACTCCATGAAATTGCTGAGCGGTCGGGTTAGAACGGATAAAAGGAAGTCCTTCTTCACCCAAAGAGTGATTAACACTTGGAATTCACTGCCACAGGAGGTGGTGGCGGCTACAAGCATGGACGGCTTCAAAAGGGAATTAGATAAGCATATGGAGCAGAGGTCCATCAGTGGCTGTTAGCCACAAGGTATAGATAGGGGCTCTGGGGCAAGTGATACTCTGTCTTCTTGGTGCTTGGGGGGGTCAACAGTGGGAGGGCTTCTAATGTCCTGGCCCCACTGGTAGACCTCCTGATGGCACTGGTATTTCTGGCCACTGTGTGATACAGTGTTGGACTGGGTGGGGCTTTGGCCTGATCCAACATTGGCATCTCTTATGTTCTTATGTTCTTAAAGAATGTTACATGTTTGTAGCATCTCAAGAGAAACCTTAAAACGTACGGTAGGCCAGATAGGTGACCAGAAAGTTAGTCTTTGGGAAGGACTTTTTTTCAAGTACTATACACAGGTGCACCAAGACACAGTTTGACAGACAGATAAAGAATTCTGCAGGACAAAGTGAGGCCAACTGAGTAAATGTATGCAAACTAATTCATTTGCATAATGTTGATTGGCCTGGTTTGCTTACATTGCACTACCAAATCTGAACACAGTTGGCACACAGTTAACGTTTGAGAGGGCTTGTTGCAGGTCTGTTGGGAGCATTCAGCAAGTTGCTCTCTCCGCTCCAGGTCCCCTGTATATAAAACAGCTCTCCTCTAAATGCAATAACAGTTAAGAAAAAGGAGGAGGAGGAGACTGGATTTATACCCCGCCCTTCACTACTTGAAGGAGTCTCAGAGCGGCTTACAAACTCCTTTCCCTTCCCCTCCCCACAACAGACACCCTGTGAAGTAGGTGGGGCTGAGAGAGCTCTGACAAGAACTGCCCTTGAGAGAACCACTTTGAAAGAACTAGTGACTGTCCCAAGGTCACACCAGCAGCTGCATGTGGAGAAGTGGGGAATCAAACCCGTTTCTCCCAGATTAGAGTCCATGCTCCTAACCACTATACCAAACTGGCTCTCGAGGAGGAGGAAGATTGGATTTATACCCCACCCTTCACTACCCAAAGGAGTCTCAGAGCGGCTTACAATCTCCTTTCCCTTCCCCTCCCCACAACAGACACCCTGTGAGGTCGGTGGGGCTGAGAGAGCTCTTTTGAGAACTGCTCGTGAGATAACAGCTCTGAGAGAACTTGTGACTGACCCAGGTCACACCAGCAGCTGCATGTGGAGGAGGAATGGGGACTCAACCCCGATTCTCCCAGATTAGAGTCCGCGCCCCTAACCACTAAACCAAACTGGTTCTCTGAAGTGTCATGCTAAATGTTAAATATTAGCAATGCTCACTGTTGCCGGATGTTCCGACCTCACGTGGTAATCATGCCCAGCCTTGGACTTGTAAATCTTCCCACAATGGGGGCATGTGAAGATGGGCTTATCCACCTCCGATGGCTGCTTCCCGCACCGCTTCTGGTGGTACTGGTACCCCATGAGGCTGGAGAAGGTAGCCATGCATCCCTGTGGAAACAAAACGACATGAAGGTGATGCTGGCCATTTGTCACAGGGATGGAGCACGCATGCGAGTTTCAACAAGTTTTTCCACTGGCTTCACACCCACCCTTCCGCTCCTCTTGCCTGGGGAGGAGGCAAAGTTTGCTATCTTGCGGATGGAGCTGCTCCATTAGTCTCTAGCCAGCAGTTTCACCCATTTGAGGAGGGAGGAAAAAGAAAGGGTGCTGTAGCCCCTTCCTAGTGGTGACTCCTACCGTTGCTAGGAGACCACTAAGTAATCCCTTCTCTCCCCCGCTCTGAAATGGGAATTGGCTGATTATGGGCTGCTGCAAAAAGAGCAGCAAGCAACCAGCTGGAAACCTCGCTGGTGGATTCCTGCCTCTAATTAATTATTGTATGGCCTTGTGTGTGGTATAGCCAGGAGATCCTAAGATTGTCTGACAGCCGGAAGTTCTAGCTCTTTGAGCGTTATGCACCACTAGGTGGTGAGCTAGACTTGTTTTTTAGACAAGAGACATTTCTGGGCATGGAACAGGGGTCACCGGGTGTGTGCGCGGGGGGGGGGGTCCCTAAAGGCCCATACGCACTAAAGGCCCATACGCACAAGAATAAGCATGATGCTTAAGAAGTTCAAGTCCCTTCCAACTCTATGATTCTATGACCGGTCTTCCACAAAAATCACGCTGCCAAGAGTCTTTGACACTAAAGGCCCATGCGCACAAGAATAAGCACGATGCTTAAGAAGTTCAACAGTGGGAGGGCTTCTAGTGTCCTGGCCCAACTGCTGGACATCCTGATGGCACCTGGTATTTTTGGCCACTGTGTGACAGAGTGTTGGACTGGAGGGGCCATTGGCCTGATCCATCACTGGCTTCTCTTAGGTTCTTATGTTCTAGTCAAAGAGAGTGTGCCATATGGATCATGGTGCTCTGCGTTTCAAACCTGGCCCACTCCTCTCCCTATCTCCACCCCAAGATACCCAAGACATTTGGACGTTTGAGGCAACCGGTGCTCTGGAAAGTGCCATCAAATCACAGCTGACTGGTGTCGTGCCGCTTCTTGGCCTCCGGCGAAGCGCCCCCAGTGGCCGTGGCGTCGGGGGCCTTGGCTGGGCTACAGCTGGCCGGTCGCACCGGGGAGTGGCAGAATCCCAAAAGGGAGGGGATTGAGAGGCCTCATACCGACAGGGGACAGGGTTCAGCTCACCCAGAGTGTCCCTCTGTCAACACGGGGAGAACGTCTGCTTGGCTTCCCTCTCTCTGTCTCCGTCCTCGCTCTCTCTCTGTTCCTTCCGTTCTCCTCCGTATTTCTCCTCCCCGGCCCCTCTTGTTCCCCTCTCTTTTATCCTTCCGCTCCCGGCCCCGCCCCCTTGCTCCCGATGCTCCGCCCCTCCTCTTGCAGGCTGCTTCGGGGTCCCCGGTCTCGGTCCCGTGCCCGGCCGGTCTGGAACGTTGACGGGGGATTCGCCCCCCCTTTCCCACGCAGGACCGTCGTGTGCCTTTTCCCGTGGCGAGGTGAGTTGTGGGGGCCTCGCTGTGTCTGTTGGGGCTCCCGGGGGGTGGTCTTCCTGGCCCGCGACCCCCGGAGGGGGACAACTGGCAACCCCCGTAGGGTTTTCAAGGCAAGAGATGTTCAGAGGTGGTTTGCCATTGCCCGCCTCTGCATTGCTACCCTGGTGTTCCTTGGTGGTCTCCCATCCAAATACTGACGTGGGCCAACCGTGCTCAGCTTCTGAGAACGGACAGGGTCGGGCTAGCCTTAGCCATCCAGGTCAGGGCAACTGCAGAGATCATATGACTGAGTCCTGTGCAGGCCAAATAGCCTTTGCCATGGACTGTGCTCCCTCCGGCAAAGGCCAAGGCCCTTCTGTTTGCATAAGAGCGTGCTAAAAAGCTCGTGACGCAGAGGCCGGCCATGGCAAAAAACCACCTCTGAAACGTCTCTTGCCTTAAAAACAAGTCTGGCTCGCCCCCTAGTGGTCCAAAACACTAAAAGAGCTAGAACTTCTGGCTGCCAGACAATCTTAGGATCTCCCGGGTATACTACACACACTGTCATATGATAATAATGATTATTATTATTTGCTGAAAAACATCCATCTTGCACAAGTGGAAGTGCTGGCACAAGAGCAGAGTCTTATCTAGTGCACACAGACCTTGTTCACAGCATCCGGACAGTGTCCCACCATGATAATTTATTTATTTATTTATTATCAAATTTATACCCCGCCCTCCCCACAAAGCAGGCTCAGGGCGGCTTCCAAAACAACATATATACAGCTTAAAACACAATTATTAAAAACACAACAAATAAAACAAGCATAAAGTGCTGGCGGCCATTAAAATTCACTTCGATGACACACTTTCAAAGGATTTCCATTTCCCAAATGTTCTAAGATGTTCTTCTGCTCGTAGTTTCCTTATGGCAGCAACTTGATAGTGGATCATGGGCCAGGCGCTGCAACAGCCAGGCGATCCAGCGGCGGCGGCCCCTAATTAAATGCCTGGCGGAAGAGCTCCGTCTTGCAGGCCCTGCGGAACTGTGAGAGGTCCCGCAGGACCCTGATCTCCTCCGGGAGCTCGTTCCACCAGGTAGAAAAGGTCCCGGCCCAAGTGGCAGCTAGCCTGGCCTCCCTCGGGCCAGGGAGGGTCAACCGATTTTGAGACCCAGACTGTAGTGCTCTCTGGGGTATATATGGGGAAAGGCGGTCCCATAGGTATGTCGGACCCCGGCCATAAAGGGCTTTAAAGGTAAGAAACAGCATCTTGAAGCAGATTCGGTATGCCATTAGCAGCCAGTGCAGTGTCCTCAGCGCAGGCTGGATGTGCTCCCATCTAGGGAGACCCAACAACAGCCTAACATATAATATGTTAGTCATTTGCTTTCCTTTAGGGATAGCCCACAATCCACCGCTGGAGGCAAGCTACCTCACTCAAAACGGCAGATGCTTGAATATGAGCTGGAGCTAGGTTTGCCAGCCTCCAGGTGGGTATAGCAACTCGAGCTGCAGTGTTAGGAAAGTCAAGTAACGAATAAATATACACTGCAAGAAATTTTTGTAAATTAATGTGTTCTGTTTATAATTAACAATTCAGGGCTCTTTTTGTAGAAAAAGCCCAGCAGGAACTCATTAGCATAATAGGCCACACCCAACAGCAGAAACATATTAGCACATTAGGCCACACCCCTGACAGCACAGCTCATTAGCACATTAGGCCACACCCCCATGTTACCAGAAGTGTGGTTATCCAGCCACACCCATCCGTTCCTGTGCGTTCCTGCCCCAAAATAGCCCTGATTAACATTCTATAAAGTGCATTTTGTATTCTTATAACATCCGAATCAGGTATATATATTCAGTACATTCAATATAACATTAACATACAGTTCATACAAAATAACAACTACCAGTCAATTTAGCATCAGTATTTTAAAAGTCAAGCCCCAAC